AAAAAAAAAAAAGATAAGTTTTATTCCAGTAGCCAAGCTCTTAGTCATAACGAAGAATGGACAGTGGCTCCCTGAACTCTTCTAGCTTAGTCCCTTGCTTGCCCCATTCTCAATTACTAAAACTCTTGAAAGCCCTACCATCCTTGCCGAACTTTCACCCAGGCGCCGGCAGGTGGCGATGAGGCTCTCCGTGGGCCGCTCTGTCTGACGCGTGCACCTCTGTGCGGGCCACAGACGCTGCAGCTGTACTTCCGGGCGCTGATGCAGGTGAGCCAGGGTCTCTCGAAAACCTCAATGCCGTCAACCCAAAGTAAGGGAGCCCCCACTCCTGCCCCAGCTCGCTGTCACGGCTGCCCAATACCAGGGCCAGAGTGCCCAGGGGGAGGCCGGGTAGCCATCAGAGGAGGCAGAGCCGCGTGGACGTCTGGGTCCCGGCGAGGCCCAATGGGATTTAGACCGGTGCCTCTGCCCTGCTACGCAGAAGAGGTCTTGCTTTGGGTCCTCTTGGCTATCCAGACGGCCGGGAAGCGGAGTGTGACTTCTCCTCGTTTCCTCCGTCCCCGCCAGGCGGCGCCATCGCGTGAGCCCCGGTTCCCCTGGGTCAGGAGCGGACCGCCACTGGGAGTAAGTTCTCCTCGTGGACTCTGATATTTCAACATTAGGATTTCCTGGTTGTATGCAAATTCCTTATGAGCTACCAGCAAAGATCCTGAGTAGATATAGGGTGGACTCTGGAAATAGTATTTTTAACAGTGGCTCCAGGTTGCTGCTCATAGCTTAGAGACCTCTTCTCAGAAATACTGGCATAACTTGTGGAGGGGAACATTGTAATGGGTTGTTTATGGGGCTGTTTTTGTCCAGGACTGCTTCTAAGAGTAAGGGGTWCTAGCTGGGCATTGTATCGAGAGACCAGTATATCCCAACCTCACCCCACAATAATGAATTCCCTTTCCTGTCCCTAGCAGGATGCAGAAGATCTCCGTGTTGCTCTTCCTGGCCTGGGTCTGCTTCCTCTTCTATGCTGGCATTGCCCTCTTCACCAGTGGCTTCCTTCTCACCCGTTTGGAGCTCACTAACCATAGCAGCTGCCAAGAGCCCCCAGGTCCTGGGTTCCTGCCTTGGGGAAATCAAGGGAAGCCTGGGGCCTGCTGGATGGCTTCCCGGTTCTCCCGGGTTGTGTTGGTGCTGATAGATGCCCTGCGATTTGACTTTGCCCAGCCCCAGTACTCACAAGTGCCTGGGGAGCCTCCTGTCTCACTGCCCTTCCTGGGCAAACTACGCTCCTTGCAAAGGATCCTGGAGATTCAGCCCCACCATGCCCGACTCTAYCGATCGCAGGTTGATCCTCCTACGACCACCATGCAGCGCCTCAAGGCCCTCACCACCGGCTCATTACCTACTTTTATTGATGCTGGCAATAACTTTGCCAGCCATGCCATATTGGAAGACAATCTTATTAAACAACTCACCAATGCAGGTYAGTATGGGCTCCTTTGGAAGCCAAGAATACTTTGGCAGATATCTTATTTAGAAGTTCTGGAGCCAGAACTTTGGGTGCCCAGCTGCCCACTTGGTTGTGGCGTAGGGGTCTAGGAAGGGGGAGAATGACATTGGGACCTTGTGTGTAGAAAGCTCAGTTTGGGGGACAAAGGACTTTGTCTTTGGTGAAAGTTTAAATCTATGTGGAATGTTGATTTTGATCTTGGGGAACTCTCAGTAAAGGGGCAAGGGAGAAATGAAGAGAAGATGAATCTTGACTCACAAGTGTGAAGAAGAGTATAGGCAGATCCAGTCCCTGTTCACTCACTGACTTGGAAAAAGCAGAATACACCCGGGAAAAACAGGTCAGCAGAGATACCCAGGTGCTGAAAATTAGCACATCATTTTGGAGGAATGGGAGTGACAAGTCTAGGTGAAGTATGGTCATCAGGGAAAATTTCCTGATGGGAATTTTGGGCCCTGAAAGATAAGGATTGCTGGATAGAATAGCTGTGCCTTAAGATACATGGTTGGGATTTCTAATGGGTCTTAAAGGGTCTCCTCTTCTGTTTCTCCCCTGCCCTGACTCCTAGTCAGCTTCTGACCACCCTCCCCTCCACATGTCCCTGCAGGAAGGCGTGTAGTCTTCATGGGAGATGATACCTGGAAAGATCTTTTCCCTGGAGCTTTTTCAAAAGCTTTCTTCTTCTCTTCCTTCAATGTCAGAGACCTACACACAGTGGACAATGGCATCCTGGAACACCTGTATCCCACCAGTGAGCAATGGGCCAGAACACTTAGTCCCTAAGACTGGGAACTGGGGACAGCTGCTTTAGTCTACAGATTCTGAACCTCCCATGGGTAAAATGGCCTGGGTGTTTGTTCCCAGACATAGAGGAGTGTTAAAGCCTTGCTGGGGTTGAGGAGCGGGCCTTGGTACCCTGTGCTCAGTGTTCTCCCCTTCACAGTGGACAGTGGTGAATGGGACGTGCTGATTGCTCACTTCCTGGGTGTGGATCATTGTGGCCACAAGCATGGCCCTCACCACCCTGAAATGGCCAAGAAACTTAGCCAGATGGACCAGGTGATCCAGTGAGTGTGGGGTAATGACTGGGGGAGTGGGTTTGTGCCTGAGAATCTCAGAATGTACGGTTCCAGGAGAAAAAGTCCTTATTTGGAGCCTCTTTCCTGGCTGATCTCTTTATTTTCCAGGTCTTTTTCTAAAGTGAGGGGTCTCATTCATCTTGAATAATTCAATGGGTGGATTTGGACAATAGATTGAAGAGGTGTCTCTTTGCCAAAGGTCTAGATCCTACTTWTGAAAGTCATAGCTTGGGGTGAATGGGTCCTTGAGAAAGATCTTGATCCATCTCTATCCCCTGACACATTTCTTGGTTCACAGGGGACTTGTGGACCGTTTGGAGAATGACACACTGCTGGTGGTGGCTGGGGACCACGGGATGACCATGAATGGAGACCATGGAGGGGACAGTGAGCTGGAAGTCTCAGCTGCACTCTTTCTATAYAGCCCCACAGCCCTGTTTCCCAGCACCCCACCAGAGGTGAGGCCTGGACTGTGCCTTTTCTGGTTTACCAGTATTCATTCCTTACCATAATCTCAGTATTTTTATTTATTTATTTATTTTGGTACTAGGKATTGAACCCAGGGGTGCTCAACCACTGAGCCATATTCCTCAGCCCTTTTTGTATTTTATTTAGAGACAGGGTCTCACTGAGTTGCTTAAGGCCTTGTAAGTTGCTGAGGCTGGTGTTGAACTCGTTATCCTCCTGCCTCAGCCTCCTGAGCCATAGGGATTACAGGTATGCGCCACCATGCCCAGCATGATCACAGTATTCTTTTTATTTATTTTTTATTTAGTACTGGGGATTGAACTCCGCGGCACTCGACTACTGAGCCACATCCCCAGCCCTATTTTGTATTTTATTTATTTATTTATTTTATTTTATTATTTTTTTTTTAGGGTTCTCTCTTAGAACTTCCAAGTTCTCCCAGACTTTTTTAAAAATTTTTTAAAATTTTTTTTTTTAGAAAGAGTGTGTGTGTGTGTGTGAGAGAGAGAGAGAGAGGAGAGAGAGAGAGAGAGAATTTTTAATATTTATTTATTTATTTAGGTTTTTGGCGGACACAACATCTTTGTTGGTATGTGGTGCTGAGGATCGAACCCGGGCCGCACGCATGCCAGGCGAGCACGCTACCGCTTGAGCCACATCCCCAGCCCCTTTTGTATTTTATTTAGAGACAGGTTCTCATTGAGTTGCAGCACCTCGTTTCTTTTTTGTTGAGGCTGGCTGGCTTTTAACTCACTATCCTCCTGCCTCATGCTCCTGAGCTGCTGGGATTATAGGCGTGTGACACCGTGCCCAGCCCTATGATCACAGTATTTTTTTTTTAACTAAWTTTTTTTTTTTACATTTATTTTTTAGTTGTAGTTGGACACAATACCTTTATTTTGTATGCTTATTTTTATGTGGTGCTGAGAATGAAACTCAGGGCCTCACATATGTTAGGTGAGCTCGCTGCCGCTGAGCCACAACCCCAGCTCTGATCACAGTACTCTTATAGGTCACTTTATTTTAGGCTCCCAAATCCATGATCCTGGGATCACCAACCCATGGCTCCACTTATTTCYTTCATCCCAAACACTCAGCTTTCTTTAAATAAATAAATAAATAAATGGGAGGGGGAGAGTTGTAGATGGACACATACTTTTATTTTGTTTATTTATTTTTATGTGGTGCTGAGGATCAAACCCAGTGCTTCACACGTGCAAGGCAAGCACTCTACTGCTGAGCCCCAGCCYAGCCCCTTACTTCAGCTTTCTGATGAACTCATTAACCCCTGTCCTTTTCCTCTAGGAGCCAGAAGTGATTCCTCAAGTCAGCCTTGTGCCCACACTGGCCCTGCTACTAGGCCTGCCCATACCATTTGGAAACATTGGGGAGGTGATAGCTGAGCTGTTCTCAGCGGGCAAGGACTCCCAGCCCCACCTCTCTGCTCTAGCCCAAGCCTCAGCTCTCCATCTCAATGCCCAGCAGGTGGGTAAGAGGGCTGGGCTTCTGAGTGATAAAATTAGGGTGGGCATAAGAGAAGCATAATGGCTACTACATTGTCCTTTGTTTAGTCTTCCCACCTTCATAGCGTGTCCCCTTCCCATTATTCCTTCCTTCTATGCTAAACAGAGTTTGGGTCCCTGATTCCAAGTGCCCCCTTTTGTAATACTTATCCTTGCCTCTGCCCCAAATTATATTTCTGACCTGTTGCCCTTGGTCTCTGACCTTTTCTGTTAGGTATCCCGATTTCTTCATACCTACTCAGCTGCAACTCAGGACCTCCAAGTTAAGGAGCTTCATCAGCTACAGAATCTCTTCTCCAAGGCCTCTGCTGACTACCAGTGGCTTCTTCAGAACTCCCAAGGGGCTGAGGCTGCATTGCAGACTGTGATTGCTGAGCTGCAGCAATTCCTGCGGGGAGCTCGGGCTATATGCATTGAGTCTTGGGCCCGTTTCTCTCTGGTCCGCATGGCAGGGGGTGCTGCTCTCTTGGCTGCTGCCTGCTTTCTCTGTCTGCTCGCATCCCAGTGGGCAACATCCCCAAGCTTCCACTTTCGCCCTCTGCTGCTTATACCTGGGGCCTGGGGCCTGGGTGGAGCCATACTATATGCAGGACTCCTGGCAACTACTGGGCTGAAGCTGGATCCAGTGGTTCTGGGGACCATGGCTGCAACAAGCTCACTTCTCCCTTTTCTGTGGAAAGCTTGGGCTGGCTGGGGGTCTAAGAGGCCCATAGCAACTCTGCTTCCCATCCCTGGGCCTGTCCTTTTACTCCTGCTCATTCGCTTGGCTGCCTTCTTCTCTGATAGTTTTGTTGTAGCTGAGGCCAGGGCTACCCCCTTCCTTTTGGGCTCACTCATTTTGCTCCTGGTTGCCCAGCTTCACTGGGAGGGTCAGCTGCTGCCGCCTAAACTGCTCACAATACCCCGCCTTGGCTCTTCTTCCCCAACAGGCCCCCCACGGCACAGTGGTGCATATGCCCTGAAGCTTGGAGTTGGGTTGCTTTTATGTACAAGGCTAGCTGGGCTTTTTCATCGCTGCCCTGAAGAGACACCTGCTTGCCACTCCTCTCCCTGGCTGAGTCCTCTGGCATCCATGGTGGGAGGTCGAGCCAAAAATTTGTGGTACGGAGCTTGTGTTGGGGCACTGGTGACCCTATTAGTTGCTGTGCGACTATGGCTTGGCCGCTATGGTAATCTCAAGAGCCCTGAGCCCCCTGTGCTCTTTGTGCGCTGGGGGCTGCCTGTAATGGCACTGGGCACTGCTGCCTACTGGGCATTGGCATCGGGGGCCGATGAAGCACCCCCGCGTCTACGAGCCCTGGTTGCTGGGGCATCAGTTGTGCTTCCTCGGGCAGTGGTGGCGCTGGCTGCTTCAGGACTCATGCTGCTTCTCTGGAGGCCTGTGACAGTGCTGGTAAAGGCTGGGGCAAGTGCCCCAAGGACCAGGATTGTCCTCACTCCCTTCTCGGGGCCCCCTACTTCTCAAGCTGACTTGGATTATGTGGTCCCTCAAATTTACCGACACATGCAGGAGGAGTTCCGGGGCCGGCTAGAGAGGACCAAATCTCAGGGTCCCTTGACTGTGGCCGCCTATCAGTTGGGGAGCATCTACTCAGCTGCTATGGTCACGGCCCTCACCTTTTTGGCCTTTCCACTTCTGCTATTGCATGCAGAGCGCATCAGCCTTGTGTTCCTGCTTCTGTTTCTGCAGAGCTTCCTTCTCCTGCATCTGCTTGCTGCTGGGATACCCATCACCACCTCTGGTAAATATATATCTCAGCCCTGATTCATCTAAGATAGTAATGATATGAGTCCAGCCCCTCTTGTTTTCAAGGAGGTGTTGTTCCTTATGTTCCTCACCTTGACRTAGGGTCTCATGCCCCACACAATTGGGAAAGTCTTACTAATGTCCTTTCTCTTACCTGCTGTAGCCAAGCTGATCCCTCCCATTGGCTTTAATGAGTTCCTGGAGGTGGGGGTAGGAGGAGTGATAGGTAAGGAGTCCTCCAGGACTCATGGAAATGCTGCATCCTTATGAACACATTTCCTTATTCTCCAGTGATAGAAGTGGCAAATTATGAATACATTATGATAGTGAGCTGTGTATATGTGAGACAAAGAAATAGACTGAATTTAGTGGGATTCAGATTAGGATGCCTGGAGTTTGTGCAACAGAGGGAATTAGAATAATGAGAGTGTCCAGGCATGGTGACTCACTCCTGTAATCCCAGTGACTCAAAATGCTAAAGCAGGAAGATTGCAAGTTTGAGGCAAGCCTTGGCAACTTAGTGAGATCCTATCTCAAAATTAAAAAAAAAAAAAAAAAGACTGGGAATATAGCTCAGTGATGGAGTACCTCTGGGTTCAATCTCCAGTGCCAAAGAAAAGAATAATGAGAGTGTTGTCTTATAGAGAGGTTGGGGTGGTGGGCATATGTGTATGAAAATTACCACTGAATTAGCTGCTGTATATGATGGTGGGGTGGTAGGCTCTGGATTAGGGGATGAGATGTAATAAAGAGGTATACTTTTTCCTCCAGGTCCTTTTACTGTGCCATGGCAGGCAGTGTCAGCATGGGCCCTCATGGCCACACAGACCTTCTACTCTACAGGCCACCAGCCTGTCTTTCCAGCCATCCATTGGCATGCAGCTTTTGTGGGATTCCCAGAAGGTCATGGCTCCTCTACTTGGCTGCCTGCTTTGCTAGTAGGAGCCAACACCTTTGCCTCCCACCTCCTCTTTTCAGGTACCTCCTTGCTTCCTCTCCCTTACTTTCATYGTTTTCTCTGGCTTTGTGGAAAAAAAGGAAAATCCTGAATTTAGAAAGAAGATGTGGTTTCGTTAGATCCTTGGCATCTCTTGGCCTAGGCTAATTGGAGTCTGAGCCAACTAGGGTGGTTGGGGACTAGGGTGGACCAATCTCAATGTCTTCCATTGATGTCAGCCCTGCCCTTTCCTTGAGGCAGTAGGTTGCCCACTACTTCTGTTGTGGCCTTTCCTATGTGAGAGTCAAGGGCCAAGGAAGAGGCGGCAACCCCCAGGGAGTGAAGCTGAGGCCAGAGTCAGGCCTGAGGAGGAGGTRGAGGAGCCACTGATGGAGATGAGGCTCCGGGATGCACCTCACCACTTCAATGCAGCACTTCTGCAGCTGGGCCTCAAGTACCTCTTTGTCCTTGGTGTTCAGGTACGTATAGAGAAATCAAGGAGCTAGTAATCTTTTCTCATGCGTGTGTTTCACATTCTTTCTATAAAAAATCCTGGGAAAGCAGGGTACAGTGGTTCATGCGTATAATCCCAGCTACTCAGGAGGGAGAGGCAGAAGGATCCCAACTTTGAGTCTAGCTTGGGCAACATAATGAGACTCTGTCTCAAAAACAAACAGAAAAACCTTGGGAATGTCTCAACTGAAGTGTAGATAAATGTTGCCTAAGCCTGGTGACCTCAAATGACAATTTTGAGACTTAAACCTGWGTTTCTTTATCTAGTCCTGGATCATTTCCTCTACAACCTAGATCTGCACCTTGCTAGTTGCATTTGGGAATTATGGACATACTGGAAAGACTTGAGTAATGGCCAGGATTCTTAGACTATGATCGTGGAGCCTCCTCCTTCTCTCTGGATGCAGAAGATGTACTGACATCTTCCTCTACCCTGGGAGTCAAAACCTAATTGTTAGCATCAAAGATGGATGGTGACTTGCCCAAAGTCACTGAGTTAGTAGTTGGGCCAGGGCAAGAATTAGGTTTCTTAGCTCATGTCCCAGGGTTTTTTTTTTTGTTGTTGTTTTTTTCCCCAGAAACACATGCTGCTTTCCTTTTTCTTTCATTTTTTTCACAGTGGCCTATAGCAGTTTTCCCTTTGTGTTGCTTCTTCCTCCCTTTCCCAAGTAACTGGGACTCTCCTCTCTCTCCTTAGATTCTGGCTTGTACCTTGGCTGCCTCCATCCTCCGCAGGCATCTCATGGTCTGGAAGGTGTTTGCCCCCAAGTGAGTGGATTTACTTAAAAGGGAAGATGGTGGGTGGGAGAAATTTAGAGTAAATTAAGAACATCCAGGATGAACAAGGTTTTGCCTCTGTAGGGAAAAAGCACTAAACCTACTCTTCGTCTCCTGAGGCACTCCACCTTTCTTTGCAGGTTCATTTTTGAGGCCATAGGCTTCATCGTGAGCAGCGTGGGACTTCTCCTGGGCATAGCATTGGTGATGCGAGTGGATGGTGCTGTGAGCTCCTGGTTCAGAAAACTAGTTCTGGCTCAGCAGAGGTAGCCTAGGCTATGGATGCTTATATCTGACTACAGAGAGAACTGGAGAATAATATAGCTTGGCCTGTACAGGTGCTAGCTAAACTACAAGAGAGGCTCAGCTACATCTCTTTCCACCATGCAGCCAGGCACTGCTGGCTCTGGGACTTCATTATTTTAGAATTYAAAATCACAGTGGAGTCTGATCCCTAACTCCTGATTTGGTTGCATCTGATGGATAAGGGTGTTAGCTATGGTGGGTCTCCAAGTGGAATAAAAAAATGTAAATATGTTTGTCTGAGATGTGGGGGAGTCCCCACTGTCATACATGTGTTGAAGGGAGGGTCAGTCTCCTCTCTCAGGCAGATTGGATCAGTCATCTTAGACATGCTTGGCTATACCTGAGAACCTTTGGCAAGAGGTTGGAGTTGTCTGAATTTACTGCCCCCACTTTTTCCTAAATCAGTCCTGTTATCCCACCTATGATTTTCCTTTGCTATTCAGTCAACACATTTTTTGAGTTCTTACACTTTGGCTGATTGCAGAGAAGACTGAGAAGATAAACCCAGGTATCATAGAGTACACAGAATTTCACTGAAGCCCCAAATCATCTTCCCTAATGTGTCCTTTCACTCTAAGACACTTTGCTCTTCACTTCTGTGGAAGCCTCCCTAGTTTCCCAACCTGTGCTGCCTATTTATTTATTTATGATACTGGGGATTGAACCCAGGGCTGCTTTACCACTGTGCCACATCCCTAGCCTTTTTTATTTTTTATTTTGAGACACCCTCTCTGAGTTGCTATGACTGGCCTTGAATTTGCAATCCTCCTTGTTAACCTCCCCAGTTGCTAAGATTACATGCATGTGCCACTGTTCTTGGCTCTTTTTATCAGATCCACTTGCCCATCTTTTTACTTTGGGGGGTGTTGGGAGATGATAATGGAAATTGAACCTAGGACCTGGCATGTGCTAGATAAGCACTCAACCACTGACTACATCTCTAACCCTTTTTTTATTTTTAGACAGTGCTGAGGCTGGCCTCAAACTTGTGATTCTCTTGCTTCCTCCAGAGTACAGACCTTCTTGCCCATCTTGTAGAACATTCCACCTCGTCTCATTGATTATTCCTGGACTTGAAGCCAAATTGTATTTATTAATTTATTCATTTTTACAGCCTCAGAACCATAGGAATCCTAGTGCTTCTCTTGTATTTCTCCTGTGTCCTCTGTCCATTCCACCCTCATTCTCAGGTGTCACATTTGAAGTGCTGGCATGAAATCCTCTGGAGATATCCATCAAAAGAGTTTGGCCAGGCACAAATACCTGTAATTCCAGCGGCTTGAGAGGCTGAGGCAGGAGGATTGTGAGTTCAAAGCCAGCCCCAGCAAAAGCAAGGCACTAAGCAACTCAGTGAGACCCTGTCTCTAAATAAAATACAAAATAGGGCTGGGAATGTGGCTCAGTGGCCATGTGCCCCTGAGTTCAATCCCAAGTACTGGGGGGAAAAAAAAAGTTTGGAAGCCAGGTAGGTGTGGTGACATATGCCTTTAATCCTAGTGATTGAGGATGCTGGAAATGAGGATTGTAAGTTCAAGGCCAGCCTCAGCAATTTAATGAGACCCTGTCTCAAAAAGGGCTGGGAATGTAGCTAAGTGGTTATACCCCCTGGGTTCACTCCTCAGTACCACAAAAGTAAATCTAAAATAAATAAAGAGGATTATTTATCTTTTAAAAAAAGTTGAAAAGAACCTCTGGGGAGAAGGATTAGGGCCAAGGTTAGGTTGGAGGTTTGAACATGTCCAAGTCATGAGAAGTTGGGATTGCTGAAAGAAGAGACGATCTTGGGGCTGGGGTTGTGGCTCAGTGGTAGAGTGCTTGCCTTGCACATGCAAGGCGCTGAGTTTGATCCTCAGCACCACATAAAAGTAAATAAATAAAATAAAGCTATTGTTTAAAAGGAAAAGAAGAAATGATCTTTAAAAAATGGGAGAACACTTACCTTTAGTTGGCATGAGGAAGAAAAGGTAAGGAGCATTGGTTGTGAGGAAGAAATATACTGCTGTGGTAGGTAGCTAAGGGAAGAGTTCAAAGTATTAATGGCTAACAGACTAGGGTACAGAGGTCAAATGCAAAGATGAAAAGTATGTATTCTGTGAGGCAATTAAAGGATAGATCCTTGGTTACCCTGGGTTATAAATAGGTTTAATAATGTAGGATGGAGAGGGGCTAGGGTTGTGGCTCAGTGGTAGAGCGCTAGTATGTGTGAGGCACTGGGTTCAATTCTCAGCACTGCATATAAATAAATAAAATAAAGGTCCCTTGACAACTAAAAAATATTAAAAACAAATAATGCAAGATGGATAAGTTATGGCCCCAGCTAGCCTATAAAAGAAATAAGGGGAAAAAGAAAAGAAAACCCTCCCCCAACCTGGTGGCAACTTCTGAGGTAGTTTGGTGGAACAATTCCTTTGTGAGAAAGGAAAACACCCTTTCCATCTCTAGTACCTAGGGAAGTACCTTTAGTACTTTAGTTCTTTAGTACTCTAGTACCTAGGGCAGTATCTCTAGTATCTTTGTCTGTACCTTCACCTCCCCGCAAATTGTATTTTATTATTTATTTATTTTGCAGAGCCTTCCTTACCTACAGCCTAAGGATAATCTAATCTATCAACCACTGTCTAATCACTTTCTCCTGATAAATCTTTAAGATTCTTTTAGAGAAAGATGTGTTAGAAAATTGATTACCATTAAATATACTACTGGAAGTTCTTTCTTGCCAAGCTTGATGGCACATGCCTTTAATGCCAGCTACTTGGGAACCTGAGGCTAGAGGAACCCACATTTGAGGACAAACTGGGAGACTGAGCAAGACCCTGTCTCAAAATAAAAAATAAAAAGGGATAGGGGTGTAGTTCAATGGTAGAGCGTCCTTGGGTTCAATCTCCAGTACAGCAAAAAGAAAATGAGAAGAAGAAGAAAGAAATGAGATCATATAATCTGTGGTCTTTTGTGATTGACCTCTTCATCATGTTTCCAAGGTTTATATATCAGTATATGTTGGTTTTTTTCTCTTCTTTTTTGGTACCATGGATTGAATCTGAGGCACATCCCTAGCCTTTATTATTATTATTATTTTTAAAATATTCTTTTTTAGTTATAGATGAACACAATGCCTTTATATTATTTTTATGTGGTGCTGAGGATCGAACCCAGTGCCTCATACATGCTAGGCAGACACTCTACCACTGAGCTACAACCCCAACCCTTATTTTTTATTTTGAGACAGGGTCTCACTAAGTTGCTTAGGGCCTTACTAAGTTGCTAAGGCTGGCTTTGAACTTGGCCTCAGCTTCTCGATTCTTTTTCTTTTTAAGTTCAGATAAAATCCAACGTTTTAACCTTTTGTTTGGCAGGGGGTTTCTGGGGATTGAACCCAGGTGCACCTTACCACTGAGTTACATCCCCTGCCATTTTTATTTTTTGAGTCAGGGTCTCACTAAGTTGCTTAAGTCCTTGCTGAATTGCTGAGGCTGGCTTGGAACTTCCGATCTTCCTGCCTCAGCCTCCAGAGTTCCTGGGATTACAAGCAGTGTTACCAAGCCTACCATATTTTAGCCATTTTAAAAAGTACATTCATAATGTGCAATCATCAACACTATCAATTCTAGAATTTTCATTACCCTAAAAAGAAACCCTGTACCCATTAAACAATCACTTTCCTTCTTATCCCCAAATCCCTGGCCTCAGGAATCTGCTTTATGTTTCATATTTACCTATTATGGATATTTTGTATAAATGGGATCATTCAGTATGTGCCCTTTTCTGTCTGACTTCTTTGCTCCTCCTCCTACTTCTTTCTCCTCTTTTTTTTTTTTTTTGTTGTTGTTGTTGTACTGGAGATTGAACCTGAAGACACTTTACCATTACCCTTTTTAAATTTTTTTTATTTTGAGACAGCTTCTCACTTAGTTGCTTAGGGCTGGCTAAGTTGCTGAGGCTGGCCTCGAACTGAACTTGTGACTCTTCTCCCTCAGCCTCCTGAGTTGCTGGGATTATAGGCCTGCACCACCACATTTTGAGGTCTGTCTTTCATTTGGCTTAATATTTTCAAAGTTCATCCACATGGCATTATATATTGGTACTTCATTCCTTTTCATAGCCAAGTAATTCAATTGCATGGATAGACCACATTTTACTTCTTCATATGTTGATGAACATTTGGATTTTCACCTTTAGTTATTGTAAATAAGGCTGCTATGAACATTCATGTATAAGGTTTTTGTTTTCTGTTTTATGTACCTGGGTCACTCAACCACTGAGCCACATCCCTATCCTTTTTTATTTTTATTTTGAGACAAAAGTCTCACTGAGTTACTTAGGGCTTCACTAAATTGCTGAGGCTGACTTTGAACTAGTGATCCTCCTGCCTTGGTCTCCTAAACTGATGGAATTACAGGTGTGTGCCTGTAAACATGCCTGGCTCCCTTTTTGTTTTTTTTTTTTTTTTTTTTTGGTACTAGGGATTGAACTCAGGGGCACTCAACCACTGAGCCACATCCCCAGCCATATTTTATATTTTATTTAGATACAAGGTCTCACTGAGTTGCTTAGTGCCTTACTTTTGCTAGGCTAGCTTTGATCTCTTGATCCTCCTGCCTCAGCCTCTGAGATTAAAGGTGTGTGCTACCACCCCTGGATTCATGTATGTTTTTGTTTGGGCATATGTTTCAATTTCTCTTGAGTATATATCCAATGGTATATTGTAGAAATACTGGGCCATTTGGTAATTCTGATCTTTTAAAGAACTGCCATTCTGTTTTCCAAAGTTGCTATACCATTTTATATTCCTTCCAGCAGTRTGTATGAGTTCTGATTTCTCCAAAGTGATGTCAACACTTGTTATTATCTATTTTTGATCCAATCATTTTACTGTGTGTGAAATAATATTGTGTTTTGGGTTTGCATTTCTTTGAAGGTCTGTGATGTTGAACATCTTTCCTTGTACTCATTGGAGAATTATCCATTCAGATYCTTTGCCTATTTTTAAATTGGGTTATTTGTCTTTTTWAAATTATTGTATTGTAAGCATTCTCTATATATTTTAGATACCAGTTCTTTGCCAGATCTCTGTGATTTGCAAATATTTTCTCCATTCTATGGGTTGTTGTAAAAGTCAGGAAAAAACAAAATACTGACTTCCCCTTTTCTCTAACCAYAACCAACACAGAAGACTTTTGTGACTTCACAAAGCATGGGTATTTCTTCCTTCCAACAAGCAAGCACTTCTGCAGTGGACACCAGATGAGAAGCCTCTACTTCAATTCAGTTCTGACACTATCAATAAGGAAATAAGATTAGTTCCCTCAGAATGAAGATTCAGTTCCCAATACTTCTTCCACTTCCCTCACCACTTCAAAAGTAAATTGCAAGCCCCAGGTTGTTTCACCTGTGCTTCTGATTGAAAAAAATTGGGATTTTTCTCAGTATAGGTTGGGTTTCYACAACCCCTCCTGGGTTGATTAATTTGCTTGAGAGGCTCACAAAACTCAAGGAAACATTTACTTATGTTTATCAGTGGTGTCGACTTTTTGTCCTATTTTGTACCTGAGGGAAAAAAAAGAGGAAAGATTTATTTTGGGTCATGGTTTCAGTTCATGGTCAACTTGCTTCATTCTTATGGGCCTGAGTATGTAGAGAGACTGTGGTGGAGAAGCAATGCCCACCTCATGGGGGCCTGAAAGCAGAGAGTGGGGAGAGAGTAG